GCGAAGTGCGTGAGGGGGTTGCCGAACTGAGGCGCCCGTGAGCTTGAGAGTGCAGTGCACCGGTAGTTTTACGACTCCCACGTGCCTCGAGGCGCATCTTACTCGTCTGTTTACGCGCGCCAGGAGCCCAAGACCGCAGATCACACGCATTTTCACGCGTCAACTGGCGAACGGAGGTGCGGCTGCCCTCTTCGGGCCTCGTCGGGCCGGCGGAGTGCGCGAGGCCCCTCTTAGCATAGCTTCTGCATGCCATCTCGCTCTCCTCCATTCATCCTCCATCTCATCATCTACCATCGGACGTTGAATCGCGGCGTGAACCGCTTCGCTCATTCCGCGGGCCTGTATTGTGCCATCGTTGGCGCTTGCTTGCGCGTTCGCGGTTCACGCGGATCTCCGCAGGGCGGGGGTTTGCGGGCGACGACCGCGAGGTAGGAATGACGGATCATCTTCTGCGACTGCGTTTTGGAGTCTTTTGGGTGCCTCTCGGGGACTCTAGGGTGGGGCCTCCAGGGGGGTGTATTGGGAGCCTCTGGGGGCCTCCTGGGAGCCTCTTGAGAGCCTCTGGGGGCCTCTTGGGAACCCCTTGGGAGCTTGCTGGCGGTTTCGAGGTCCAGCTTCGGGGCAACGGGCTCCAAGTGACACTTCGGATTGATCGTTTGGGGCCCTCTTCGGGGACTGGAGTCGTCTTGAGGTGCCTAACGGGCCGTATTGAGGCACTCTTGGGTCATCTAGAGGTCCTCCTGGGAGTGTCCTGGGCTGTTTTTCGCTTGCCCCGGCTTTGGGCTGGGTCGGGCACGGGCTTGCGGAGCTGACAGAGTTGGGCGGAGGGGCGGGGGGGGAGCTTGACCGCCGGCGTGGCCATTTTGGCTCAAGCGCGCTCCGCGTGCCCCGGACGGGGGGGGGCTTGCCTGGAGACTATGCTCAGGAGATGGTCCCACAGGACCCTCGCGGTACATGCGCGCAACACAGGCAAGTTCCTGGAATGGGCCAAGGGCCAAAGCAGCCACGCCGACGAAGAGCCCCAGGACGCCGCAGTGCTCACGCTGGTGGGCTACATGCAGCACCTGCGCGAGGCAGGAGCCGCCCCGACAGTGCCGCGGGCACGGCTGGCCTCCATCGCGTTCTACTCCGCCATCGCCGATTTAGAGACGGCGTACCCTGTGCACAACATCATGGTTACAACCGCGGCGGCAGCACACAGGCGCGATAACCGGTCCAAGAAGTGCAAGTCTACCAGGAGTTACACCGTTGCCTTTGCCGAGGTAAGGCAGATAGAGGCGGCCATCAATTCCAGCAAGGATCTCCTTGTCCGAATAACGCTTTCCAGCGAGCTGCGGAAGCTTTTCGGTGGCCTGCGGAACGACGATTCCATTTGGGATCAGCCAGCGCGCTGGACGACGGCTGGGAGCTCCCCTGCGGGGGGGTTCCTTTACGGAGTGTGCGACAAGACGAAAGCGACTGAGGCCACGAGCTGCCGCATCGAAACGCCCATGCCCTGGGCGGTGCCCGCCAGAGGAGTGTCCGCGATCCCGTCGAAGTGGGCCAAACGGTACCGCGACGACCTGCTGAAGCTTGGGCTCATGGGCGCTGAATACGCCGTGACGTCACCCTGGGTGGTACGCGCCAGAGAGACACCGCCAGGAGTCGCGACCGCAGACGAGTGGCTCACGCAGATCCGCCACGCCCTGCGCGCGGCTGGACTGGAGCGCGAGAGGGCGGCGACCGTGACGCTGCACACTGCGACAAGGACGCTGCTCACGTGGGCGGGCACCATCGGCCGCTTCGGCGAGCCAGGACTGGCCATCCTGGGGCACCACCGCAGCGCAGGGGTCGCGAAGCTCGTGCGGGCGTACAACACGTCAGAACTGTCCGTGCCTGTTCAGAAGCTCGCGCAGCTCCTCGAGGACATCGCAGAGGGCCGTTTCTCGCCGGACGCGCCGCCCGGTCTACAGTGGGCGGTTTTGCCGGCAGCCGCGAGCTCGCAACCGACGCCAGCGCAGACCGCCGCGCAGGCGCGGCCCGCGGGGCCGCGACCAGGCCCGACGCCCCCCCGGGGGCCCGGACCGGATCCGCACGGGTACATCACGGCCACGGGCGACAGCGGCGAGCGGAGGGCCTGCGTCCACATCGCCGCCTTCGTGGAGAAGGGCTGCGCGAAGCCGAACAAGATCACCGTCCAGTGCGCGCACGGGGGCGTGACCAACCTGTTCGATTTCCGCCTGCACAGCGCCGCGTGGGACGATGGCATCGTTTTCGGACGCGAAGCTCTGCAAGGCTTGCATGTCGCGCGCGCGACGGGCGGCCCGCTGAGGCGGCCGGGCGCGCGCGCGAGGGAGGCGTCGTACACGGCCCGCAATGTCAAACCGTGTCTGGGTCGCCGTCCCCGGGGGAAAAAAAAAGGCGCCCCGCCCCGGCCTAAGTTTCCCCCTTCAGGCAGCGGGTAAGCGGAACGGCCTCGGCGCGCGGGGCCGCCGGGTGATTGCGCGACCCTGCAAGTAATCAGAACAAGCCGCGCCAGGCCGGCACCAGTGCACACAATGCCACCCCGCCTGCGCCCATGCGGGGCTTTCCTCTCCCCGCCCGCTCGGGGTCGGAGGGTGGAAGGCTTGCCGGGCTTTGGCAACGGCGGAAGACGGCGTTGTGCGTCCTGGCGCCAGTCGGCGCGACGGCTGCAAGCCCGACCCGAAGTTGCGGGCCCCCCCCTCGCCGGAAGAGGGGCCACTGTCGCCCGCGCCGCGGGAATGTCTTGGCCGGCTGCCCGCCCCTCCCGCCCCGGCTATCCAACCGGCTTTCCTTTTTCCCTGCTTTAAAAACGGGTCGGCCTCGGCGCGCGGGGGAGCATATGGGGGGCCAGCCCATGCGAGCGAGGGGGAGGTGCCCGCCGGAGGGCCAGTCGCAGTAAGTCGCAAGAGCGAGGCCGCAACGCATGGGACCGTGCCGACGGCTTTCTCCCGCGGCCGCTGGGTGCGCGGCCTCGTGCGCGCCAGGCCGTTCACCCAGTGGGCTCGCGGTCTGGCGTCGGCGCGTCCAACGCGGTCGATGCTGTCCCAACGGCCGGGTCTGGCGGGGGATTTCGTCGCGGCCGCTGTCGGGGTTCCGTCTCCTGGGGTCTCCTTGGTGCCCCCCCCCCGCGTGCGCGCCCGCGCCTTCCCCCCCCCCCCCCCCCGCGCCCCGCCCGGTCGGGTCGGCGGGGGGGGGGGGGCTCGTGGGCCCCGTGTGGGCCGCGGTCAGCGCGCGCGGTCTCCCGCCTGTTCAGCCATGCGCATGTTTTTGGATTCCTGCAGCCGTTGCTCTCGCGCGCCAGGACCGCGCGCTCCCCCGCGCCGTCTGCGGCGGAGCACCGCCCCCGCCGCCGCCCAGCTCGGCCATGGAGTTCGAGGCGGAGGTCGCCAAGCTGCGCGCTGACGTTAGCACCTCGCGAACGCCGGCCTCGCCAGCGCGCAGCGCGTGGCCACCTGCGTCGCGCCGGAGCACCTGCAGGGCCAGGGCGGATCCGTCGCCGAGAAGGCGGTGGACTTCGTCTTCGTCGGCGCCGCGCGCGCGGCCGTCGAGGTTGTCGAGCCTGGGCCGGGCACTACGCTGATACCGTGGCTTTCTTCCGCCTGTGCTTCAGCGAAGCGAACAAGAGCGCCCCCACTGTCGAGCCGGAGGCCATGCCCGTCGAGGCCAAGGACCCCGGGCACGAGGACTACTACGAACTGGAACCGGCCTACCGCGAGCGCCGCCTCGACGCCCTCTTCGAAGCGCGCCGGCACGAGGGCGAGGGCGCTCGCTTGCCCGGCGCCCGTCTCTGGGGGCGCTACGAGCGCATGCGCCGCGTGCAGAAGGAATGCGCCCCACTCTTCGCAGACAACGTCCAGTCGGAGGAGCTTGTGAAGCGGCGCGGCCCGGTCAGCATCCTAGGCCCTGTACAGCGCGGCGCACTGGCTTGGAAGCTCCCGGCCATCCAGGAGGCGCCGCCCGACGCGCTCGAGGAACTTGAGACCTGGGCTTACATAGTCGAGAACTTGACTTACCTGGTCGGCTGGGTGGCGGACATCAAGTCCCTGGACGTGTTCCACAGGCGCTTCTGGGCCAAGGCCTGGAAGAACCGGGCGCCGCGACTGGGGTGCCGCAACCTCACAGTCGCGGAGTGCCACCAAGCCTACATGGCATGCCAGAACCAGCGGCGCAAGGCCTCACAGAACGGCGACAAGCTCGACGACGCCATCCTGAAGTGCGCCCCGCCCGACAATGGCGAGCTCGACGTGGCGCTCGCCCTTGCCCCGCGCCTCGCCGCGCAACCCGGCGCGCCGACGCTCGGGTCCGCCGGAGGTTCCCAGGCCGCGTGCCCGCGCTTCGCGGGGAACCGCGACAGCACGCCCCTCGCCGCGCTCGAGGACGCGGACGGCCTGACGGCGAGGCGCCGGCGCCTGTCCATGGCGCAGAGGACGGCAAAGAAACTGCAAGCCCTGGGGCCAGCCCCCCAAGACGCGCGCAGCGTCAAGGGCGAGGCGGCCGGCAAGGGCAAGCCCAGCGGCAAGGGGCAAGGGCAAGCCAACCAGCAAGGGCGAGACCGAGAAGTCTGGGTCGCGGGGAGAGTGGTGCCGCTATCTGCAGGAAACCGGCAATTGCCACTTCGGCAAGCGGCGCTGGTTCCGCCACACATGATTATCCCCCGCAAGCGAGGCGGTGGATTCCCAGGCCGCCGCCACGCAGAGCGGCTTTCTGCCTAGCTTGGAACGGGTGCCCACGCGGGCTTCGGGCGCCCCTAATGCCACAAACGCCGCGCCAGCCGGGCGGCGTGCCATGCCATTTGCCGCCGCCGCGCGCGCAGCCGGACCGCAGCCGGCAGCCCTGCAGGCCCAGCCCAAGCAGTGGGCCCCCTCGTGGCGCTCATCTGCGCCGACCGCAACTGCTGCACCCCCAGCGCCAGCCGGCGCCAACGCGGCCCTCGCAGCCAACCGCGCGGGGAACGTTCGCGCTCCCCGGCCCGGGCTCGCCCGCCGGGCCAAGGCGAGGTGGCGGCCGCGCGGCGCACGACGGCGCCGTGTCCCACGCCCATTGGGATCAGCGTCGTCGACCACGCCGCAGCCCTGCTGCAGCCAGAGCTCAACGCGCGCATCGATGAGCTCGACGGGGCACCGCTGCCCGAATACCACCCCCCGCGGGCCAGCCTGCGGGCCGCGTGCTGCACGCGCGCTGACGCAGTCCCGTGGCTGCTCGCACCGCCAGCAGCCGCCCCCGTCGCGGGAGGAGCGCGCCGCCCGCGGCCCGCGCACCCGCTCACGCCAGCGCAGCACATCACCGCGGCCTGGGACGCGCCCACGTCGCAACCCACTCAAGCCAACCCGCTGGATTCGCCCAGTCAGGTGCCGAGCGGCGTACACAGCGCGCTGCAGTGGATGAAGCATTGCCTGGACCTCGAGCACTGGGCCTCGGCGCAAGTCAGGCGCTGGGCCGCGCGCGCGCCAGCTGGCCGCAGCAGCCGCGCACTGGAGGTCGACTCTTGCCCTTGAGGTCCGGGCAGTTCTGCCCCCAGATTACAGCGGGCCGCTCCGCTGCAGGGAGTTGCTGGGGGCATCCGGGCACGCAAACCTGGCCGTGCGCGATGATATCGAGCGCGGCTTCCCGATGGCAGGGCCCATGTCCGACTCCATGCTCTTCGCCGGCGCGGGCGCTGGACAGCTGCCTAGCCGTCGAGACCTAGCGGATGCACTGCAGCACGCGCTCCTGCGCAGGGACCACACGCTGAAGGAGCTCCTGAGCAGACCGCGCAGGGGGCCCGGCACGCAGGACATCCTACGCCAGACGCAGGAAGATGTTGCGGCCAGAAAGATGGAGGGCCCATGGGAGGTGCACCTCGGCCGCGATGGCGAGATCGTGAGCACGGTGCCGTTCGCGGAATGGCTGCCGACGCAGCGGTTCCCCAGGGTGCAACACCGCGCGGCGACAAGCTATGATGTGCGGCCAATCGACAACTGCACCGCGAGCGGCCTCAACCCCGCAGCCGCGGCCATCGAGGCCATGCGAGTCACGGGCCTCTCCGCGCTCATGGCCACCATCGAGCACGTGGCTGAACTTTTTCAGGGCTGGGGCATCGACGGTGAACCGCTCCTCGCGAAAGGGGGCCACAAGAAGGGGCACCGCCAGTGGCCCGTGCGGCCCGACGAGCGCAAGCACGTAGTCACGCTGATCTGGAGCGACGACGCGGGCACCGAGGGAGGCTTCCTCGCCTTCGCCCACAGGGCCCTGCCTTTTGGCGCCTTTGGCGCCGTCTGGGGATACGCGCGCGTGGGCGGAAGCGTGTGTCACGTGCTGCAGCGACTGTTCGCGGTCCCTCAGATGGCGTGCGTCCATGATTTCTCCCGCTCTTCACCGCGCCGAGTCGCCGCGCTGCAGCAGTGGATCTTCGGCCAACTGCACGCTCTACTCGGCGTCCCGCTGAAGGCCGAGAAGGGGCAGGCCCCCGCGCAGCGGCTCGAGATACTGGGCCTGGAAGCAGCCGCAACGACACAGTGGTCAGGGCTACGCCTTACCGAGAAGCGGCGATCCCAGCTCCTGCAAGCCGTGGAAGAAGCATCCCGCCTCGCGCGCCTGACCGCCAGGGACGCGTCCCGCCTGGGGGGGCAGCTGGGGTTCGGAAGCACCGCGCTCTTCGGGCGAGTGGGCCGCGCGTGCACCCGGGTTATCAGTGCTCACAGAGGCGGCTGGACCGAGGAACTCGGGTACGGCCTCCGCTGGTGGCGCTCGCCCCTGACCATGCCGCTGCACTATTACCGGGATCATGAATGCAAACGGAGACACGCGGTCGCCTGGGTAGACGGCTCCTGGGAATGGGCTACCGGCGCGGGCGCGTTCGGCGCCGTGCTACTGACCGCCGAAGAAGGCTGGAGCTTGTCAGCAGAGATCACCGAAAACTTCAGGCAGGAGCTGCGCAAGACCGGCAAGCGACAGCGCAATACCCAATCGGAGCTACTTGCCGCCCCCATGTTGCTGCTGTCTTGCCCCGAGCAGCTTCGCGGCCGCAGCTTGGTCCTGCGCGAAGACAACCAGGCCGCGCTGGAGAACATCCTGGCCGGATCCGCCGCGGATCCCGACAGCCGCTCCCTCGTCGGGGGGATTTGGCTACTGGCGGCAGTCTTGCGAATAAGCATCTGGATTTGAGTACGTGCCCAGCGAGTCCAACCCCGCCGACTGCTTCTCCCGCCCCGGAGAGGAGGCAAAGGCGGACGAGATGCAGCAGCTCTCCCAGATGCACGCCCTGGTCGCGATTCGCCACCGCGATTGCCACCCTTCCTGCAGACCGAGCCCGAGACGTGGGCCGCGGTCGTCACGGCCGCCCGCGCTCCCCAACAGTGGACCGCGCGCGCCGAGCGCGCGAAAGCAGCCGCCCGCCTCGGTGCCACTGACGGCCCCACCGTCGCCGGCCTGCTTGGCCGGGTCACCTGGGACGCGCACGACGGCAACGTCACGCTGGGCTGGTTGCAGCTGCCGCGCAAGGGCATCGTGGCGCAGGCCACGCACTACCACGACGGGTTGGCACAGGTACTCTGCATGGCGTTTAGGCAGGCCTACCCTGGGCACGCGTGCACAACCACTGCGATGCGCCAGGGCGGGCTTCCTCAGTGGCCGCGAGCCGCCGCCGAGTGCATCGCCTGCCTGCGCGCCCGGGTCAACGCGCCCAAAACGGACTGCGAGTGGGTCAACGGCTACGCGGAGCCCCACGTCGCGGATCCCACCGACGTCGTCGCGGGCTTCTTCCGCATCCCCGTCGAGGGGGCGCGGGCCATGCAGGGTAGCGCCGGGCTGGCGCGACGGGGCTTCCCACTGTGCGCGGCGTTGCAGGCGCCGTGCGAGGGGGCCGGCGCAGCTGCGGCTCCCCGCCCGCGCCGCTAGCAGCCGAAAGGTCGGGGCGGGAACCCAAAGGGGAACGCAACAAATGCGTCCATCCAGAGCACGCCTATCGCTCGCGGCCGCAGACGGGCGCGCCGGCATTCGGGCTGCGGCAGGGAACCCCGGGAGCGCCCAAGCGCCTTGGGGCCGCGTCGGCCGAATGTGCGGCAGTTCCCCCCCGCCGCGCGCGCGGGGGGGCCCTGTTTCCCGCGTAAGTAAAGCAGGTGGCTGCTGCCGCCAATGCGTGGGTTGGCGGCCCCAGGATGTGACCAAGCGGTCCCCGGGGTAACGCTAACGTCGGCCGGCTCGCCCCCGTTGGTGGGTGGTGCGGCATTCGGCGCTCTGTGGTCGCTATGTCAGGGGCCCCTGGCATCGGCCTCGGGACCCCAGCATGACAAATCGCCGAAATCGCGCCGCCCGCGCGCGGGGGCGGAGCCCAGTGCGGAAAACTCGGGATCCAGAAATTGTCTGCATTCGCAGCGGCGGGGGGGCCGCTCTGCGACTTGGACCCCCCCCCCCCCTCTGTCGCAATCCGAAACAACAGGAAACGCGGGGTGTGTAGTCTTGGCCAGGGACAACTGGTGGGGGGGGCAGGCCCGGCTACACAAACTTGCGGGGCTAACCGGGCCTGCCCCTCTCCCTTGCTACCTGCGCGGCTCGAGCGCCCGCGAGGCCAGGGCTGCGCTTCCCCGTGCTTCGGCAGTCCTGAAAGGGCACCCCTCCGCTCCCCCCCCGCGGTCGTCCGCCCTCGTCAGCGCCACCCCCCCTCACTGGCTCAGATCCGAGCCGGCGCCCCGGGAACCGCGCCCGCGCCCGCGGTGCGAGGTTGTTGGTTTTGGGTTGCTGTCTGGTCCTGCGGGCTGGACTGGGCCCATAACCGCCGCTCGCTGGCGGGCGTCGGGGTGGTCTCCGGGAGCCGCAGGCGTGGGTGTTTGCTTGCGCGGGGGGGTGGGCAGGTGGCGCTCCGCTGCGAGGGGGCGTGGGGGCCCCGTCCCGAAGGTAGGGGGGCCGCTGGAGGAACGCGGGTGGGGGGCGCTGGGGAGGGGTGGGGCAACTGCCGTGTAGCGCACGCGCGCGCGCGTGTCGCTTGCTCAGAGTGCGCGCCAATGGCCCCCCCCCCCCGCGCGTCCGTGCTCTGTCGATTTCGCTTGCCCTGGCTTTGGGCTGGGTCGGGCACGGGCTTGCGGAGCTGACAGAGTCGGGCGGAGGGGCGGGGGTGGGGGGCTTGACCGCCGGCGCGGCCATTTTGGGTCAAGCGCGCTCCGCGTGCCCCGGAGGGGGGGGGGGGCTTGCCAGTGGGGGCCCTCCTCCCGCCCACCACCCACGAAAGGGGGGGGGCAGCAGATGAGCTGAGTTCGGGGTGGGCGCGGCGCTGGAACGGGGACATCGCGACTCCCAGGCGATCCAGCGCAGCCGCGGGATCTGAGCAGGCCCGCGGCCCGACGCGCGTGCAAACGTCGGGGGCCAGGCCCGCGGGGCTAACCGGGCCTGCCCCTCTCCCTTGCTAGGTGCCTGCGCGGCGCGAGCGCCCGCGAGGCCAGGACTGCGCTTCCCCGTGCTTCGGCAGTCCTGAAAGGGCACCCCATCCGCTCCCCTCCCCGTGGTCGTCCGTTTTCGCCAGCGCCACCCCGGGGGCCGCACCCGCGCCCGCGGTGCGAGGCTGCTGGTTTTGGGCTGCTGTCTGGTCCTGCGGGCTGGGCTGGGCCCATGACCACCGCTCGCTGGCGGGCGTCGGGGTGGTCTCCGGGAGCCGCGCGCGTGGGTGTTTGCTTGCGCGGGGGGGTGGGCAGGTGGCGCTCCGTTGCGAGGGAGCGTGGGGGCCCCGTCCCGAAGCGAAGGTAGGGGGGCCGCTGGAGGAACGCGGGTGGGGGGCGCTGGGGGGGGGGGCAACTGCCGTGTAACGCGCGCGCGCACGTGTCGCCTGCTCAGAGTGCGCGCCAATGGGCCCCCCCCCTCCCCCCCGCACGTCCGTGCTCTGTCGGCCGGGGAGATGTTGGGATGACCTCCTGGGCCGTTTTGGAGGGCCGCAGTCGTGAGAAGGCGAGAACGCACACATCATTAAAACCCATGCGGTATTTATGATTTTTGTCACCCGCGGCCTTCGTTGGGGCTCTCTTGGAGCTCTTTCGAGGCGTTTCGGAGGCGTTCTGGCATTCAGAGATTCCCTTGAGCGTCTTGGAGCGCTTTTGGACCGTCTCGTACCATTTCGAATTTTCTCTTGGAGGTCTCTTGGAACGCTCCTGAAACGCTCTGGGGAGCCTCGGATGCCGCACCCAGGAGCAAAACCATCTTTTAGTAAGGGGTGGCAGGGGCCGCCCGGGGGTAGCCCAGGCTGCAGCCGGGGTACTTCTCATCCAGGAACCCCCAGGGGCCGCCACGCGTACGCGCGAGTGAGATACAGAAACGCTGTAACACAGCTGCCATTCGAGATTTTAGCATACCTTTGGCCCGTCAGGCCAGCGATTTTTGACGCTTCGCTCTGGCTCAAGTACGAAACCGTCGCCCTGCGGCTTCGTGCTTGTCTGCTGCCGAGGGGCTGGCCCGAGGCGTGCGCACCTGCAGCAGGCTTTCTTTCTTCTCGCACGATCCCCACGGTGAGCCCTCGCGCGGCCGTGGGTCTCTGTGTCGCAAGCCTCGCTTTGATGTCGCCGTCGGCGCGCGCGGCATGCTGGCGGCAGCTGCGGCGGGCGGCGGCCGCGCGCCGAGCTGGCACCGCCAGCGCGGCTGCCGTGGCCGCCGCGGCGCCGCCGCCTGTCCTGCCGCTGCACTTGGCTGCCGCCTGCGCCGCCCCCGCCGCGGCGGCCGGCTGCTCGGCCGGGGCCGCCGCCGCGGCCGCCGCCGCGGCTCCTGCTGACAGCGCGGCCGCGCGGCCCGCCGCGGCCGCCGCCGGGGCCGCCGCCCCCCGCTGGCTGCCTGGCCGCGCGGCCCGCCGCGGGCCGCCCTCGAGCGGCTTGTGCCGCCGGCGCTGTCGCCCCCGCGGCCGCCGCGGCCGCCGCGCCGCGGCGCCGCCGCCTCGGCCGCAGCGGCGGCCGCCGCGGCCGCCTCTGCGGCCGCCGGGCGCCGCCGGCGCCGCTGGCGGCCCCTGCGCCGGCGGCGCCGTCGCTCCGCGGGCGCCGCCCGCGCCCGTGGCGCCGCGGGCGCCGCCGACGCCGCTGGCGCCGCTGGCGCCGCTGGCGCCGGGCGCGGCGCTGGCGCCGCCGCGCCTCCGGCGAGGCCGCTGGCTCCGCGGGCGCCGCCGGCGCCGCGGCGCCGCTGGGGCCTGCTCCGCGGGCTCGGCGGCCGGCGCCGCCGCCGCCGCCCCTGCGGCCGCCAGCGCCGCGGCGGCCGCCGCCGCCGCCGCCGCCGCGGCCGTGGCGGGGGCGGCCGCCGCTGCGGCCGCGGGCCACGCGGCCGGCGCCGCGGCCGCCGTGGCCCGCGCCGCCGCGCTTGCTTGGGCCCGCCGCGGCTGGCGCCGCCGCGGCCGCGCCGCTGCAGCACCAACTGGCTCCCAGCGGGCAGACGCACCAGCAGGGCAGCAGCGGCAGCAACAGCAGCCGAAGCAGTTGCAGCAGCACCAGCCTCAGGGGACCAGGAACTCAGAATTTCGAGGCGGCTCCGGCCGTGGTGACCAGGGCGACTGACGACTATCTGGAGGATTCTTTCACCGGAAGTGCAGCCTTCAGCTGCCCCCTGGGTCGTTACCGTGCCGCGCAGCCAGCGTCTCAGGCAGATCCAGTCCCCAGCATGCCGATCAATCCCACCTCGGATTCGCAGATTAATCCCGTGTTTCCTGGCGACAGCACGAGTAACAATTCGGCCTTCAGCCGAGGAAGTAGCGGGGTCCCAAGCAGATGCCTGGCAGTGCAGAGTAAAAGGGCGACCTTCAGTCGCAACCCTGGTAATCCTGGCAGTCAAGACGGCGCGCCCCCCCCATGCGCGTTTGGCGCTCAGCCCCGGGCGATGGTGACTGCGGCGGCGCGGCGGCGCCGACAAGGGCGCGCTGCGAATCAGCGCCGCCTGGGCGCTGCTGCCGCGGCCGGCGGCCGCCCCCCTGGGCTCGCCAGCGCGGCCAACGCGGTTGGCGCTGCCAACGCGTCGGAGGCGTCCTCTCCCTTGGGCGCGTCCGCCGCCGCTGGCGCCGCTAACGCCGCTGGCGCCGCTGGCGATGGCTGCCCCGCCGCGGCCTCCGCCGCCGGCGCCTTCTGGGGGGCCGACGTGGCTGCGGCGGCCCACGCGCGCGCACCAACCAGGGCCGTGGACGCAGCCGACGCCCTCGGGCGAGTCGGCGCCGTCCGTGCCCGGCGGCCCGCGCCCCGCGCCGCCTTCGCCGCCGACGCTGCTGGCGCCCCAAGCGTCCGCGCAGTCGGCGCCAGTGCTGCGCCCGACGCAGCCGCCGCCGCCGCCGCGTGTGCCTGCGCCGCTGCCGCCGCAAAGGCTGCGCAGGCCTCCCTCTGGACGGCCGTCGCGGCCCTGGCCCAGGCTGCTGGGCGCGCGGCGGACGCCGTCGCGAGCGCGCTCCGTGGACGCAGAACCGACCCGCTTGAAGACAATCGTAAATCTGAGGTTGGCGATTGCTGCAAATCTGGAGGTGGCGTTACACCTGAAGACAGTCGCCAACCAGCGGCCGTGAGCTGCATCAGTCGCCAGGGAGAGTTACAGACAGAGCACGCGGTGGTCAGCCGCAGCGGGTCGGTTCTTCCTTCTGTCAGAGACAGGCAGATAGGCGTTCCTACAGCTCCTCATTCCTATCAGCGCCCCAGGCGCAGAGTCTTGGTGGAGGCCGAATATGCCCCCGACAGCGCGCCCATGCCTAGTAGCAGTGTCACGGTGACAGGTGGTGGCTCCGCGGAGGGCGCGCCTGCGGTCGGAGACCGGCCTCCTCCCGACATCGGGTTCACGACGCCTTCCCGAGCGGTGGATGGAGGGTATCTCGAGCCTCCTCGCAGCATAGAGAGTCAGGAGTTCACGCTGGAACGTGCGGCCTTCAGCTGC